GCCTAGCAGGGAGCCCGATGCGGGACTCGATCCCAGGACCCCGGGATCATGACCTGAGCCTAAGGCAGACGCTTAACCATCTGAGCCACCCAGGTGCCCCCTAAATAAAACTTTTATTTCAGAATAGTTTAGTTTTACAGAAAAGTTGCAAAGATAATGTAGAGTTCCCATATATCCCAGTTTCCCCCATTAACACATCTTATGGTATCTTTGTTATAACGAACCAATATTAATATGTTATTAAAGTTCACCCTTGATCTAATTTCCTTAGTTTTTACCTAATGTCTTTTTCAAAATGTTCCAAGATCCCATCCAGGATACAGCATCCCGTTTAGCTGTCATTTCTTCTCAGGCTCCTCTTGGATGTGACAGCTTTCTCAGACTTCCCTTGTTTTTAATGACCCTGAGACAAACACCATCTTTCTGGACACTTACATAATTCTTATCAATTATTAAACTTAAAGTAAGCTTGATGCTTTCTTAGATATGCTAATATTACTTGTATATTTAGTAAGATTTCAACTTAAAACCAAGGCCAAAATTTCTTAAAATATTGCCATTACCTAAAATAGGCACAGGTTCCTCCTTAACACAAAATGTGACTGCTGTGTTCTTGATTTCCTAAATTGTTGTTCCTTAATTGTACATCTTTATGGGGTTCAAAGACATAGAGCATCTGAAGGAACATAGTTACTGTGTTATGGAGGGTACAGGCTAAGTTACTGTAACAGAGACCCAGAACTGCTTCGGAACAAAAAGCTAGAAGCTTCTTTCTCCCTCAGGGAGGTGGTTCTGCTCTGTAAGGCCATCCAGGGACCCAGTTCCCTTCTGTCGTGTTGTTCTGTCATCTCCCCTCTGCCAGCCTCATTCAGTCTCTAGGTAGAGGCTGGTTTGTACTACCCCAGACACTGTTGTCAACCTTATGCACATTCTAGCCCCCCAGGTTGGGGGAAGGGGTGGGCAGCCAGCTTCCTCTTTAAAAACTCTGATCCAGAAGTTTCACAGGCCACTCATGCACCTGTTCCGTTAGCTGCAGGGCAGGCTGAGAACTGTAGTCCTAGCTGGACAGTCATGGGTTGAAGAGAAGAACGAAAGACTAGATATTGGGAGATAATTAGCATTTTTCACAGTTATTTCATTTAACATATGTTCTAATGAAGATTTAATTAAGATCTTGCTTAATGGCAACAACTTATTTTTTAATTTTCTGAGGTAGAAAGATGCCTACCCACCCAGGAAGACAGGTACTGTCCAGATAATTCATTTTATTTATGATCAGAGGGTTTGGTGGATCTTGCAATCAGGAGCCGGAGACATTCAGAGCTATTTTTTTGACCACTCTGGCTATTACACCATACTTCATTTTATAAGTTGGGCCTTAAAACTTATAAAGGAATCGGTCTCAGGCACCTGTCTGGGCTCAGTTGGTAGAGCATGCAACTCTTGATCTCAGGGTTGTGAGTTCAAGCCCTGCATTGGGCATGGAGCCCACTTTAAAAAAGAAATTGAGGGGCGGAGCAAGATGGCGGAGGAGTAGGAGACCTGGATTTCATCTGGTCTCAGGAATTCAGCTG